AAGTACAATATAGTATCTTGATATTAAATACTCAAACCCTTGATATTTATTATATTTGAAACCGAAACCTCAAAATATAACAACAATTTAAAAAATTAGTTATTAAAAATATTATGATTAGAAATATATTAAATATTTGTCATTAGATAAATAATTTTTAATATATTTTTAAAATTTTATAATTATCAATAGTGTATTTTTAATAATATAATTTCAAAAAATCTAAAATTATAATATAACATTTTTTTCGAGCTGCTCACGAGCTTTTCGAGTCGAATATCGAGTAGCTCGTTTCGGCTCGTTAAGAACTCGAGTCGAGTCCATTCGATCGAAGTATTTATCAAGCCTTGATCGAGTCGATCTCGAGTAGCTCGCGATTTGTCTCGTCTCATTTACAGCCCTACCTGGATGGTCCAAAAATACTATCTGCACCTGTTCGGGGAAAAATGTATAGTTTGGGCACTTATTTGGGTATTAAGCCTTTAAAAATATAATTTTATTTTGTATAATTTTATATAGAATTTTTAAAATTATCACATTATGACACGTGTCACTTAACAGAGGAAATTAATGCAGTTGACGGCCCGGGCACCTAAGTGGTAACGTTTGTAATGTTAGACACCTGGATGGGCCAAAAAATACTGTAGGCACTTATTCGAGAAAAATGGTATAGTTTGAGCACTTATTTATATATTATGCCAAAAATATACATTAAGTATGATTTTGAAACAAAGGGAAATTTAGGTACCAAAACAGGACAAAAATAATAATTTAGGTACTAAACGTATACTTTACCCAGAATTAAAAGCAAATTCACGTTAGTATTGTCGTTGACAAATCGGTGACTAAGAGAAAAAAATAGTAGTGATCATTTTACTAAAATAAATAATTTAGTGGGAAAAATAAAACAATAGTAATAGATTGGTGACTGATGATATAGTTTACCCTCGAAAATCCGAATAATTTGGTAATAGGAATATATTGTTTGAGCTAAAACCTTGATCGACCCTTACCATATCGCATGATCGTTCTCTCTCCCAAATCTTCATCTTCTTCCCGCAATAAAACCAATCATTATTACACAAAAAGCTGAAGAAAAACCCATAAAAAATCTGAATTTGTTCACATTTTCGCCAAGTTAATCGATACCACTTTTGCAATGGAACCGCCAACAGCTTCCCTCTCTGTTTCTTCATCTCCATCTCTCTTCCCGCTCTCTTCTTTCTCTTCTTCTTCCAGTAAACCCCAAATAGGCTTTTTCCCCACATCCACACTCACCAGACTCACCAGTTTCGCTTCCCTCTCCAAACCCAAATCCCATATCCGCAAATTCACCCCACACTTTTCTCCGCGAAACCGACGGTCAAGATGACGGTTCCGTCAGGTCTCGCTTCCAGCGCATGATTATGGAGGTGCAGGATAGCGTCTGCGCCGCCCTTGAGGCTCTAGACGGAGCTGGAAAGTTCAAGGAAGACGCTTGGACGAGGCCTGGAGGCGGTGGGGGAATTAGTAGAGTGTTGCAAGACGGAGCGGTTTTCGAGAAGGCTGGTGTTAATATCTCCGTTGTTTATGGAGTTATGCCCCATGAAGCTTATCGGGCTGCCAAGGCTTCTGCCGCCGATGAGAAGCCCGGTCCCATTCCCTTTTTCGCCGCAGGTGTCAGCTCGGTAATTCACAACTTTCAAATTTCACCCCTTGAATTTTGTTAAATTCCATTGAAATATGAGAACGTTTAAATTGGGTTTTGTTTGCATTGCGTTTATCAAAGTTATGGACATAATGAATGCTATTAGAGGTTGTGATTTTTTTTAAATATGCACAACTTATTGTAAAACATAATAATTTTAATTACCACAATGGACTAGAATATTTTTTTTTACGGTAACGAAATAATAACAGTAATAGCGGCTCGCCATTGTCGCTATTGGTTGTTACCCGTTAAATTGCTGTTACCAATTGCCATCGGTGTGAAGCTACTTCGTACAGCTTTTTTTCGACAATAGTGATTTTGGATGTTGCTTCCACCGAAATATAGCAGCCGCTATTACGATAGTAGATTGCTAGTTAAATTCCTGGCTAACAGTATTATCATTTTGTTTTTTCTTTTCTTTTATTGTTGTTGTTACAGGTTTTGCATCCCAAGAACCCGTTTGCTCCAACATTGCACTTTAACTATAGATATTTCGAAACTGATGCTCCTAAAGGTGCTTAATTTATCCTTTATTATTGTTGTTAAGTTGATCCCTGCGTGCTAAAATGTTTGTTTAAAAGGATGTGATGCATTTCTTTTCATTAGCAATTCGATGGCAATGAATACTATGTTTTTTAGTTTCCTTTCATACTTGTTCTTCATAAACAAGAAAAAGATAGTTTCTTGATGAAAGTTTTCAAGTTGCCTTACTTTCCTTAGTTGCTTTCACTGTACTTCGTCATTATCTATTTCATTGGTATTTTTTGTGCATTTGACTCTTAACTTTGTTCAACCATGCCCGACACTTATTGGGACATGGGTCCAAAGACCCTCCAAATATATTGAAATCTTTGGAAGAATTGAACATTCTTGTGTCACACGCCTATTTGAGTCACACTCGCATCTGAGTTCCAGTAACATAGTTTTAGTTTGTGACTCGTCTTGAAAATGTGCAGATGCTCCTGGAGCACCTAGGCAATGGTGGTTTGGTGGTGGAACTGATTTGACTCCAGCTTACATCTTTGAGGAGGATGTCAAGCATTTTCACTCGGTAAGTTGAATTTTTTATTTTTTATTCTATCCCTAGTAAAGCTTGAAACATCTGCATTTAGCATGATTAAAAGACCACTGAGCTTAAGCAGTTAGAACTAATTGGTAGTTTCCATTTGAGAAAGTAAAATATCGATGTTATCTGAAGAAATTTGCAGAAATTCAAGTATTTGAATATATCCTTTTTATTTCAACACCCTACTAAATATTATTTACAGATTTAATGGAAAGCACATGGATGATATCTTTAAAAGATAACTGCAAAACTTGTGTACCTATAGCAGTATGCATATGCAGATATCATTAATTGTAGTATGTAGAATATCATTTGAACAATGAAGTATTTTTCTGAATCTTCTTTTGTTAACATTGCCTTTCTTTTTCAGATACAAAAAATGGCTTGTGACAAATTTGATCCATCCTTTTATCCTCGTTTCAAAAAATGGTGTGATGACTATTTTTACATTAAGGTACGATCTTGCCAGATTTTTTTCAGTGTCATACTTGATTCATATATAGTTCCTGAGTTTTAGAATTGTGTACGACATTTGAATTAACAAAAAGGGGCACTATTGCCAGTCAATGAGTTGAATTGTCGTTTTTCTTTTTCGCTCTAAGTCTAGAATGGAAGTAAAGTCTGAAGAGAGTTGGAAGAGAACCATGTGTATAGCATTTGAATTAACAAAAATGGGGGTGTTATAGTTAATGCACAACCCCTTTCCCCTAATTTTTTTGAAATAGAATTGGAGGAACAGTCATCTATTAAGATGAAGAGTGTGTAATTTGAGTTAGAAGCTTGGTGGTTTTCAATAACATCAGTATAGCTTATTTGGTGATCATAAATGTGTTCTAAAAGCTTTCTTTATATATAATCTTATTCTCTAGTTGACTATTCTCAAAACTGTACCTTTTTTCCATTTAAATTATGAACTAAATTACTAAACTTCATTGTTCACTTTTAATGCTATATGCAGCATCGGGGTGAAAGACGAGGGCTCGGGGGGATTTTTTTTGATGATCTAAATGACTGATCAAGAGATGCTTCTTTCATTCGCCACTGGTAACATTACTCTTCAAGTATTCCCTATGTATAACTAGCAATTCCAATGGACTTCAGTTTCTTTAATACACCAATTTACTACCGGTTTGCTGAATGTGCGAATTCTGTGGTTCCCGCATACATACCAATAATAGAGAAAAGGAAGGATACCCCATTTAATGAGAGCCAAAAGGCATGGCAACAGTTGCGAAGGGGCCGCTATGTAGAATTCAACTTGGTACTTAATTGACCTATAAGTAAACTAGAGAGATTGGAAATCTTAAATTTCACTAAGAAAAAGACCTTTAAATTATACTTCATTTGTCAATGAAAGGTCTATGATCGAGGTACTACATTTGGACTGAAGACCGGAGGCCGAATTGAAAGTATTCTCGTTTCTCTCCCGTTATCGGCACGATGGGAGTACGATCACGTAAGCTTAAGCTTCCCCTTCTTTCCTTCCAAGTGAAAAAAAAGATTAACTCGATATTTCCCAATATTCACTGTAATATGTTACTAAGAAGCTGTAATTGATAATGAAAGGTCTATTTCCTGTTTTGACATACAGAAACCAGAAGAGGGGAGTGAAGAATGGAAATTGTTAAATGCTTGCATCAATCCTAAGGAATGGATCTGATACTTCTGATTTTCTTTCTTTCTACCCTTTCGAAATTGTTAGATGCTAGTGTTTTTCTGCAGGAGAAGTTTGTTCCATGGTTTTGTTGTATCAAGGTGATAGGAGACTCATTGTAAATCATGCAAGCATTGCTTAGAGCGAAGAGACCCAACAATTGCTAATAAAATTGTGCAATGCAACTGTTAACATCTTTGTGTTACTAAACTGATAGGAAGGAAAATCAACGGTATGGAAATGATTCCTCCTCTACGAACGGATTGATGGAATAAAAAACTTTTTGTTATGATTACAGATCCCGCTGATGTAGTTATTGACGCCCGGATACGGTACATGGAACACAAGACGGGTTCAATGGAATCATTGACAACGTATTCAAATGATTTATCCCGAGTAGCATGTGAATTCTTTTGAAGTGACGTAAGGAAAAAAGTTGCCCACCTTCAACTGCAACTCCCTGCTGCTTTTTTTATTCCCTTCATTGTAATTATCGTTCTTTAGATAATGAAACAAAATTACTTGGCAAAAATATTTCACATTGTGTTTATCAAACTGACCAGCATTGACAATGGAGATATAGCAGTTAATATCAACAAAAGTTTGGTTGACTAGTCATTTGTGAAGTCAACTACATTCCACTTTGTCAAAAGAAAACATGTTCCAAGATAATATGCCATATTTCTGAATTCCTTTACCTATAGAAAGGCATATCCACAAAAAACACCTTGAGAACTCAAAAATGATGTCATAACTCTTATTGTTGTGTTGAATTTCGACTTGGCCAATCGAGGAACTTGTACCCTAGAAGTGAAGGTGGTAGATATGACTGAATCGATGAAGATGGGTTATCTGGGGGATATATATAATCCTTTCCGTATCCAAGTTCCTTCATAAGCTTGGTTGGTGCATTCCTTAAATGAAGCGGCACTCCCTCGTTCTGTCCTATGGATTCCAGAACAACCTTTTGTGCAGCTCCAATGGCTCGATACACAGCAATAGATTTTGGAGCCAAAGCTAAGTAAGCAACACATTGTGCAAGAATCACATTACACTCGGGCATGCCTATGAAATGGCAAGCATGGTAACAGGAGACAGCCTGGTTTAAGGCTAATGGATCAGCCAATCCAACATCCTCACTAGCGAACCTTATTAGTCTGCGCGCAATGTAAAGGGGCTCCTCTCCTCCTTCCAGCATTCTAGCCAACCAGTAAATTGCTGCATCTGCATCACTTCCTCGCATTGACTTGTGGAGAGCACTGATCAGATTGTAATGTTCGTCCCCTGCTCTGTCATATGCAAGATGCTTGCATTGGAGTGCCTCTTTAACATCATCCACTGCAACAACTGCTGCATATGAACTGATCTTATTTTCCTCACTCGCCACCGACTCAAAATCCCTATCCAGCTCTAATCCTACCCCTTTTTGTTTCAGTTGATTATCAGCCACTCGAGCAGCCGCAGTGGTGGCGGAGATTTCTAAAGCAATCAACGCCACACGAGCATCACCATCACAATTCATAGACAGAAATTCAAGAGCATCATCCTTAACATCGACCGTCATCCCTACGCTCTGCGACAATCCCTTCTCTCGATCACTAACAGCTCTCTTCAAAAGTGTTTCAACATGATGGGGTTTTAAAGGATTCAATGTAAGAACCCTACACCTAGACAACAATGGAGTAATCAAGTGGAACGAAGGGTTCTCTGTGGTAGCCCCCATAAACACAATGCTTCCATCTTCAATCACAGGCAAGAAAGAATCCTGTTGTGATTTATTAAATCTATGAACTTCATCAACAAAGAGCACAGTCCTCTTATTATTCTTAACCCTTATTTTCCTGGCTTCCTCAACAGCATCTCTAACATCCTTAACACCACTGGTAACAGCAGATAACGATACAAATCGATACAAAGACCGTTCTTGAGCCGAATTAACAATGGATTTAGCAATGGAAGTCTTACCAGAACCAGGAGGACCCCAAAAGATAATAGAAGGGATTCTATTGCGATCAATAGCAGAACGGAGAAGAGAATTGTTACCCAGAATATGATCTTGACCGACTACTTCGAATATGGTACGAGGACGCATCCGTTCCGACAAAGGCTCATGGGTTTGATCAGTTTTGCCTAGTTGAAAAATGGGTTTGGGATGTTGTAACTTTTGACGTTTGTTGTGGAGCGGAGATGGGGTGGAGGTATCATCATCTGGGTCGTTTTGGTATACGGTGCGGATGCTTGGGGCGGTGGCGGTGGCTGAGGGTTCAGGGGATGAAGGGGAAGGGGAAAGCTTGGTGTGAAGATGGAAGAAGCGGTCGAGTTTGGGTTGGAATGGAGGAGGAGATGGGTTCGAGTTCGAGTTCGGATTCGGATTCGAGGGTTTTTGGGAGAGAATCCATTCGGTGGCTTTGAGGGTGGATTTGCCACCGGTTGCGGCAAGAGCTTGTGCTGCTAATTCACTTGAGAAACCCATACTTAAGAGCTGCTCCATTTCCATCTCCATAGGAATCTGGCACACAAAGGAGCTCTCTTTCTTCTTGGATAAATACAATATAATGGGCACTTAAGTGGGAGGCCCCAAGGTCTTTTCAATGCCTAACTTTAGAATCTTCAAATTGGCCAAATTGGCCCATTAGGGCAACGGCTAAATTATTTAGTCCATTATCACACCAATGTGACGAGTTCCAACGACTATTTTCAGTTTAAAAATATTAGTCGTTGGGTAGGGTAATATAAATAAAGGTTTGGGTTGGATATTCACTTGTAATCAAACATTCTACTGAGAGCAAAAACTTTTGTGTTGAAGAATTTGTGTTGAAATGGCATCAAGAGATGAAATGTTACGTCTTGATGAAGTTCATATTTCTTCGAACGAGTTGACAACGGTAAGTTTATTTTGTTTTATTTCATTTTAGTTTTGACAAAATTATAGTATTAATAATAATTATTTTATGTAATTGTATTAAATAATTTATTTTCAAATTGTAGCGAGAATAACGAACCATTCATCATCGAGGAATGACGAATGAAGAGCCACATCAGCGAATTGTGATATATATTTCACAATCCGGATTATATGGAGCGATGTTTCTTTGCAGATTTAAGGTGATAGCGGCACTGATATTGGCGTTGATTGGGAGATAGAGGCCCGAAACGTATACGTTTCATTTACCTTGTGGTGAAGTGACGATAACTTTGGAAGATGTCGCGTATCAACTTGGTGTTCCGATTAATTGTATGACATTGGTGTTTTGCAACACTTATAAGGTAAATAATGTTATTTCTAATTTATTGGGAAATGAGGCTCTAACCGATGCCATTGATGGGTTTTGGGTGCAAATGACGTGGTTGGAAAGAGAATTTAGAGTAGATGACAATCAACGGAGTAAGAGGTGAAATATGCAGCGAACATATCTTTTGACGTTGATTGGAGAGATCTTGCTACCAGATAAATTTGGCAATTTGGTGCACACCTAATATCTTCCGGTAATGGAGGATTTCGTTGTATGTCGCTAATATAGTTGGGGTTCTGCAATTTTGGCGTTTTTGTATCGTGAACTATATAAGCGACCATAGTAGTTAGAGGAAAAAAAAGGATGTAGTGGGTTGTTTAGTTTTGCTCCAATCATGGTAAATTTGGCAATTTGGTGCACACCTAATATCTTCCGGTAATGGAGGATTTCGTTGTATGTCGCTAATATAGTTGGGGTTCTGCAATTTTGGCGTTTTTGTATCGTGAACTATATAAGGCGACCATAGTAGTTAGAGGAAAAAAAGGATGTAGTGGGTTGTTTAGTTTTGCTCCAATCATGGGTGTGATATCGTCTTCCGTTTATGACGCCTATTACATCCGCTCCTATGAAGTTTCCTCTTACCGTAAGGTAAATTCATATATTCAAAGTTTTCATATTTTATAATATTTATTTAAATATTTTGAAAATGACAATAAATAACGTAATTTTTTAGATGGCACCACCGAATAATCGATACGAAGTTGTCGGGTGCAACCAAAGTAGATATTCGAATGAGAATTGAAATCTCCGGTGGATATGCAATAAATTTTCATATTTTTTGCATTAACTTTTAAATTGTAATATTAATTGTTCAATTATACTAACATAATAATTTTGACAGCTTAATTGGATGCCTTATTATGAGTCGGATATCCAACGGTGTCTACCGCCAATGTTCTGTGAAGGAGCGGACACATAGTGTGCCATAACACCATTGCTCCATTTCGCAATTGTTGAGATCCATGTCGCCAATAGAGTTTTGCGACAATTTGGGTTTCACCATATCGGAACCGTCTTTTGGTTAGGCCCCGGAATTGGGTTTCCGACTTGAATGAATTGGGTTAGAGTCGCCGTCGATCATTTAAAAGAATATTTAGGTTGATCGGACACCATCTTACCTGATCTGCGTTGTACCAGAAATGTGTCGGGTTTGAGAGTCGGTTATGGTCAAGGAATGATTAACACCCTTGAACTGCCCTTTCGATACTACCGAAAAAAGTCAAAATATGTTAAATGATAAAATAAATATGAAAAAAAGAAAAACATTAATATAATAATAATAAAATAAATAAATAAAGATAAATAAAATTTAGTAAAAATAAAAAATAATAAAGATAAAAAAATGAAATAAATAATAATAAAAGGGTTAAATCTTGAAAAAATGAAAAAAATGTTAAAAAGAAATACTAACAAAAAAACCAAAACAAAAATAAATAAGTAAAAAAGGATCAAAATACAAAAATTAAAATAACAGTAGTTAAATCAAAAAGAAAAATAATAGCTAAAATAAAATAAAATAAAACTGAATAATAAAATCTAAACAAATTTAAAGCAAAATGATCCAGTGACCAAAGTGTAAAAATAAGGCTAAGTTTGAAGGTGTTTAACGCCATTGTACGTAGAGATTTGGTGACCATTTCGTGAAAATGCAATAAACATAGGAGGGCTTAACCGTGAATAACCCAACACTTTAAGCGATCAATGTAAAACATGACAAGAAATGGAGGGACCCTAGGTGAGATTAACCCAAAATCAAAATAAAAACACTTCCCCTAATTTTAATATGCTCGACGCTCCTAAATCCCTAACCTCTCTTACTTCATCTCAACACACACATAACCAACACACACATAACCAAGTCAATTGAATTTAAACTGCAATTCCAGTGATCTTAAAGGCCTTACAATTTATTGATATGGTCAGATACATTAGCATGCAACGAACAGCGAAGAACCAAAATCATAAACTAATTTATATTTCTTATTTGCATTCTAAGGATTTAACGTCTAAACCGAGAATTAAAAAAAACGAGAGAATACCTCTTTGCTTGAACAATTCTTGGTTCTCTTTCAACTCTTTGCTTGAACAATTTTCGTTTCTCTCTTTTTTATTTGCTAATTGTTGATAAAATCCTCCCCACTTCGAATGTATGTTTACATTAATTTATAGTAAAAATAAAAGCATGTTCTGTGTGGTTTTAAAGTTCTAATGAGACTAAAATTCCTTGCTTTGTTTTCGGTCTTCACGTGGTCTTCAAACGCTGAACAAAACGAAGTACGTTGCCACCGGAATCGGGGCTCTCCAAGAGTCGTGCGGGGTTGAATATGTCAAGGGCTTCAGTGGTGCAGGTTACTGGGGCAGTTTGGGTTCATTGTGGGCCACTAGGTTTCTCTATTGGGCCTTATTTAAAACTTGTATTCTAGTGGACTAAAAAGTGGGTCTACAGTTTCCCCTTTTTTCCCATAGTCGTGTAACGAGGATAGGGCAAAGATCAAAAGACACACTTTTCGTTCGGTGGAGTAAAAAAAATTGATTCTGAAAGAATAACTCCCTGTCGAATTGGGTTGTAGATGACTCCTCCGTCGCGAAGTCGAGCCTATCTCGAAATGATATATAATTGAAGCTGTAGTTTGGGATGCGACTTCTCGTTACCCTTCATTATTCTTCTCGGTTTAAAGACATTGGTTGGAAAATTCGACTGTAAAATAGTTCTTTGATTCCACCATGTTGTTGACAGGCTCTCGAGCTTAATGAAATCGAACTCGAAAAGTCTTTGTTGACATATAGCTTTTCTCGACTTAAGCTATGCTACCGGAAAAATGGTGTATTGTCACTAAGGCATGGTTAACTCAGGTATCCTTCTCGACTTGAAAACCTCGATTACAGCCGAACAATAGTGTGTTTCAGGTGTCATCGAGCTGAATGGAATCAAACTCGACAACTTATTGACAGATAGCCCTTATTGTCTTGAGCTATTCTGTAAATTTGGTTTGCCTATGAGCTGAGTGTTATCGAACTCGAAGGTTTTCGGTTGGCAGATAACTCTTCTCGACTTAAGCTATTCTGCAAATGATGTGCCTTGGAGTTGAGCGTAGTCGAACTCGAAGGTCTTTTAGTGACAGATAACCCTTCTAGCCTTGAGTTATGCTGTAAATGATGTACTCTCAAAGCTGAGCGTAATCGAACTCGAAGGTCTTTGGTGACAAATAACCCTTCTAGCCTTGGGTTATGCTGTAAATAATGTGCCCTCGAAGCTAAGTGTAATCGAACTCGAGGTTCTTTGGCAGATAGCCCTTCTCGACTTAAGCTATTATGCAAATGATGTGCCTTGGAGCTGAGCGTAGTCGAACTCGAAGGTCTTTGGTTGGCAGATAACCCTTCTCGACTTAAGTTATGCTGCAAATGATATGCCCTCGAAACTGAGCGTAGTCGAACTCGAAGGTCTTTTATTGGCAAATAGCCCTTCTTACCTTGAGCTATGTTGTAAATAATGTGCCTTGGAGCTGAGTGTAGTTGAACTCGAAGGTATTTTTTGGCAGATAACCCTTCTAGCCTTGAGTTATGCTGCAAATGTTTTTTTTAAAAAAATGCCTTCCCTTCACAGGTCTAAGCCGATCATAGTTCTTCAGGTGGTTCCTCTGAGCGAGTCTGAACCAAGTAATATGATTTTTGGATGACTCCTCTTCACGGGAAAGTCCACTGATAAATTATGTCCGCCGAATATCTTCCGTCGTGGAATTGAAATCTGGCTTGAAGACATTAACTGGAAACATGCTGCTCATTGTTGAGTTGAGATGAATTGGATTTGTTCTGAATTGGTTCTCGAACCTATCTGAAATTGATTTTGTAAATATGTCAAGTCGGTTGAGGTGTATCTTCTCACTGCTGAGTTAAGAAACCACCATCGTTCTTTAAAGGCGTTTGCGAATCGAGTATCCTTCATCTTCAAGTCGAAACTTGACTCTAAAAGCTGCGAAAATCATGTATGCTAAAATGATGAATGTGATGCACCTAAGTATGTTTGAGATGCATGCAACATGAATGAATTATGTGTTATCTCTTGGATGAAGTCTCGTGTTTTGTCTGCCAATCTGGTCCTTGGAATCGATCGTGCCCCATTCTCTTTTCAAGCTTTGGCTTTACAGACCTTTCATATCTGAGATTGTTCTGTTTGAAAATGTTTTTCTCTTTTTTCTTGTTTTAGGAGGGAAAATGATAAAAATGTT